TGAGGGTTGCGATCCCGTTGCCGGTCCCGGTCCGGTACGGGGGCGACACTGAGGGTTGCGATCCGTTGCCGGACACGGAAAAAAGACAAAAAAAAAAAAAGATAATTCTACTTAAAATTAACTCTCAAGTTTGAGCATTTGGGTCAGTGTTTTATCCTTTAAATGTAGCATCTATAAGATCTGGCCCTATATGAAGCCAGAACTGGAGAGCTTGATTTGGGATCAGGGCACTGTTAACTTGAAGCCCCTTTGTCACGAGGAAAGTTCCCCAGGTGTACTGCCAACTTCAGCTGCAAGGCCCTGAGAACAGCTTGAAACTGTTGCTGTTTCCTTCCTGCCCAGCTAAGCTCCAAAATTATGGGAGCTTACCTGCTGTTTACCTCTCAAGGCTGCAGTCCTGAGACAAAGCACATGCCTGCTTTGCATATGGACAGTTCTGGGATGGAGCTTCCACTCCACTCCTGAGTATCCTTGTGCAAGTCACTTAACCTCATTTGAGTCCATTTCCACAGCTGTATATAATGACGAAATAACTACTTTTAAGGATTATTTGGAGAATTCATAGATTCATTTTGTGGAAAATGACATGATAGTGGGCTATGCATGAGTTATTTTCCCTCTCTGGGCCTGAGTTTCCTTACCTTTAAAATGAGGAAATTAGTACCTACTTCATAAGGTTGTTATGAGGATTTAATTAGGGAAAGCCCAGATTAAGTGCTTAGTAAATGACAGGAGGATCAGATTAGGGCTCCCTGTACAAAGAGCACTCCCCTTGCTACCAGGAATAGCCCCGGCCATTTCCTTCTCTTGGATGGGTAGGGCTGGAGCTTTTCTTCCCCCTGAGCACCAGTGCCAATGCCAAACTCTACAGAGATGGGTCTGGCCCACAAGGCCTCTGAGACCTCAGTCTGCACACTCTGTTCTTTCGGCTGATGCTCCCACACCTTTTGGAGGCCAAAGCTGCCAACTTGGCCTCTTGCAAAACACACATTCCATTCATAAGTGCGTTTGTGCATTTTTCCTCCCACACCCTTCCAGGCAGCCAGTGCAGAGCTGCCAAGGCAGCTGCTGGAGAGGCAGATTCTCATTTGGGGGAAAAAGCAACTCCCAAGGATTTTTACAGAACTCATGATTTAGGCTTTGGACATACTATTCCCATTTTCTGCCCATAGTGAGGTTACTCAGAATACTCAACTGTGTTTGTTTTCATTTCCTTCATCCTGCTTTTTGTAAACAACCTCTTCCCTATTATAAAGGAAAACCCATTAATGGGAATTTGAAAAACCCAGAAAAATTAAATCACACCTAATCCTACCACCCACAGTCAATGACTACCAATATTTTCCAGTCTTCTATCAAACTTTCCATAATTATTCAAAAGTGGAATTTTTAATAGCTGCATAATATTCCAATATTGATGTGTACCATAATTTTGAAAATAGTACTGTTTTTGACATTGGTTATTCCCAAATGATGCTGCCAATTATATCCTTGCACATACATCCTTAGGAAAAGTTCCTAAGTGAAATTATTGGGTTAAAGAGTATGAACATTTAAGGTTCTTTTTAACTCCAGAAAGGCTGTTTGCTAGCATGGATTTGTTTCAAATCTTTGCCAGTTTGATAGG